AGAGTAACGATACTATGATAGGATGGGAGTAACGATACTATGATAGGATGGGAGTAACGATACTATGGTAGAATGGGAGTAACAATACTATGATAGGATGGGAGTAACGATACTATGATAGGATGGGAGTAACGATACTATGGTAGAATGGGAGTAACAATACTATGATAGGATGGGAGTAACTCACTATGGTAGAATGGGAGTAACGATACTATGATAGGATGGGAGTAACGATACTATGGTAGAATGGGAGTAACGATACTGTAATATGATGGGAGTAACGATACTATGATAGGATGGGAGAAACGATACTATGATAGGATGGGAGTAACGATACTATAGGATGGGAGTAACGATACTATGGTAGAATGGGAGTAACAATACTATGATAGGATGGGGTAACGATACTGTGATAGGATGGGAGTAACGATACTATGGTAGAATGGGAGTAACGATACTATGATAGGATGGGTAACGTAACTGGTAGAATGGGAGTAACGATATGGGAGTAACGATATATGATAGGATGGGAGTAACGATACTATGGTAGAATGGGAGTAACGATACTGTAATATGATGGGAGTAACGATACTATGATAGGATGGGAGAAACGATACTATGATAGGATGGGAGTAGCGATACTATGGTAGAATGGGAGTAACAATACTATGATAGGATGGGAGTAACGATACTGTTATAGGATGGGAGTAACGATACTATGGTAGAATGGGAGTAACAATACTATGATAGGATGGAGTACTACTATGATAGGATGGAAGTAACGATACTGTGATAGGATGGGAGTAACGATACTATGGTAGAATGGGAGTAACATATACTATGATAGGATGGGGAGTAACGATACTATGTAGATGGGAGTAACGATACTGGGGATGAGTAACGATACTATGGTAGAATGGGAGTAACAGTACTATGATAGGATGGAAGTAACGATACTATGATAGGATGGAAGTAACGATACAATGATAGGATGGGAGTAACATACCATGATAGGATGGGAGTAACATATCATGATAGGATGGGAGTAACGATGCTATGATAGCATAGGAAGTAACAATACCAATAAAGGGAAGTAACAATACCAATAAAGGATGGAAGTAACAATGCTATGAGAAAATGCAGCATTACTAGTATATTACCCAGTTATTAGAAGTTTAATAGACCTGTTTATAAATCCATGTAGATCCACTTATCAAGATCAGTGAGGAAGAAGGGGCCTATGTTCTCACCGCCCCAGACTTTGGCATTGAGAGACTTTACTATGTTGGAAAGACCAGTCAGGTAGGTCACGATGCTCCTGGTAGGTATTGATAGGGTGTCAGGTTCTGTCTCCACAGCGCTCAAATGGGCCCAAAAGGAAATTATCACAAGTGAATTCTGAGTCTCCTAACGCCTTGTTTTAATATCAATGTAGATTCACACAGCAATGTGGATGCGCGGTAAGACTTGTGGAATGTGTGGACTCCATGATGGGGAGACAGAGCGGGAATACCAGAGGCCAGACGGTTCACTCGCCACAGATGTCCACAGTTTTAGTGATTCATGGACTCTCCTCGATGATACTTGCACAGGAGGTAAATTCTTGAAACAGATACTCTCCCTAGTGCTCTGTTGTGGTTATGGTGCCAAAACTACCCTGGCTCCCTTCCCCCCATTGTTAGTAGTCAAAACATTTTAGAACGTGGTTCCCCCATGTCAGAAGTTTTTACTGCCCATTAAACAATGATTAATAAAGATTTCTACAAAATTTTATTCAATTTACACCTTCCATTCCTGAAAATAGAAAACGCTTCGATAGGCGGGTGTTTACAAATAATGTGTTAATGAGAGGAGAATCAAACCTTGAACTGGCTGGGTATATTATAAACCGGCAGACTCAGTAGGCCCATCCCAACTGAAGCACTTTAATAGATCGCTCTGGGGAAGGTGTGGCTCCAATAACTATTGTTGTATTTTGTTGCAGCATGTAAAATGGAGCGAGCGACTGTGACATTGGAAAAGGAAGCGTGGGAGTCGACATGTTACTCTGTGCACCCAGTACTGCGCTGTGCTAAAGGATGCGCCCCAAGGAGCGTGACCCCGGTGGCCATTGGCTTCAGCTGTGTGGCTGCAGGTAAGTGTTCATTCCTATTCTCAATTATCCTGCAAAATACTGCAGCATCACACTTTATAGCAATGTGCAATTCTATTTCTTTACATCTCGCAGTACTCTTAACAAAAACCTGCTACGACTTTTCATCTCCCCGAGAAAACGTGCTTTCTGTTACTATATCGCCAACATGCTCCACAGCGCTGACCGGAATAACTTGAAAAGCATGACACCCTCAGCGCCTCCGTACAACACTCTGCTGCCCTGTCCCCTGATTGTCTGATGTACTTTCCATTGATCTCCTGTTCTTACCTCACAGGTGAACCCAGAGATGAGCAAGCCATCGTAGACCAATCTATAGATCTGTTTGAGACAGTAGATGCCCACGCAGCCTGCTCCTGAGCACCCGAAAGACACCAGCATGATATGAACATGCCGCTGGAGACTACACACTTATTATCTATGCATAATATAGAAAAGAGAAAGTCTGTTAAAATAAATAAACTCTCAGAATGCATTGTCTGCTGTAAACTTTGATTCAATAAATATTTGCATCCAAAAACAAGTGGCGTTATCAATTTATTGTAATCAGAACAACAAGTCCATTCCCGGCTGCTAGGAGGGTATCGGATATTATCACAGCTCTGTCATCAGAAATAGTCTCTGCATCCTCATACTGTAATTATAAAATATGCAAAATGTCTAAGATTATTTTAATATACAGGGCTAGGTGACACAGTATGGGGTGTGATTTGGGGTCTGACCCTCCCCCCACTGCTCTATATAGGGCTCAGTGTCACAGTACGGGGTGTGATTTGGGGTCTGACCCTCCCCCATATTGTATATGGAGCTCAGTGTCACAGTACGGGGTGTGATTTGGGGTCTGACCCTCCCTGCTCTATATAGGGTTCAGTGTCACAGTACGGGGTGTAATTTAGGGTCTGACCCTCCCCCATATTGTATATGGAGCTCATTGTCACAGTACGGGTGTGATTTGGGGTCTGACCCTCCCCCATATTGTATATGGAGCTCAGTGTCAGAGTACGGGGTGTAATTTAGGGTCTGACCCTCCCCCATATTGTATATGGAGCTCATTGTCACAGTACGGGGTGTGATTTAGGGTCTGACCCTCCCCCATATTGTATATGGAGCTCAGTGTCACAGTACGGGGTGTGATTTAGGGTCTGACCCTCCCCCATATTGTATATGGAGCTCATTGTCACAGTACGGGGTGTGATTTAGGGTCTGACCCTCCCCCATATTGTATATGGAGCTCATTGTCACAGTACGGGGTGTGATTTAGGGTCTGACCCTCCCCCATATTGTATATGGAGCTCAGTGTCACAGTACGGGGTGTGATTTAGGGTCTGACCCTCCCCCATATTGTATATGGAGCTCATTGTCACAGTACGGGGTGTGATTTAGGGTCTGACCCTCCCCCATATTGTATATGGAGCTCAGTGTCACAGTACGGGGTGTGATTTAGGGTCTGACCCTCCCCCATATTGTATATGGAGCTCATTGTCACAGTACGGGGTGTGATTTGGGGTCTGACCCTCCCCCATATTGTATATGGAGCTCATTGTCACAGTACGGGGTGTGATTTAGGGTCTGACCCTCCCCCATATTGTATATGGAGCTCAGTGTAGCGGAGATGCAATGTTCCCCAGGTTATCTCCGCTTATAATCCAAGTGAGGCTCAGGAACAAGTAAATAGTAAATCCACAGGCAAGGTTTCCAGCAGGTAAAATAACAGCAATATCCCAACAACAATCCCAATAACTGGACGACACACAGTTTCAGAAGCAGAACTGAAATCTTTTAATCCACACTGTCCTTTTAAAGCATGCTCCCATGCAAGGGAGGGATTTACAATCATTTGTACAGTAGCCAATCCTGTCCTGGTAACCTCCCACACATCTCCTCCCCTCAGCCTGCATCATAATCCCCTTATCCAGTACAGTAATTCCCCCCGTTTCTGGATGTACCCCTAAACGTAGAGGTACCTCTTTAAATCCTACATCCCCGGATAGCCTTGATCTGGGTGAACAACATATCCAAAAATCACCCAGATCAGACCAGGGGTTCGGGAAATGTATGGAGGGAATAAAATGACCGACCGCACTAACTGAGACAGCCGAATGAGGTTCCATGCGAATGGGCCCTGCAGTCGGTCCTGGCATAAGGGAACAAAATACACGAAAGCCTCTAGCTATAGAGACTAGGGAGGGTTCGCCTGAATCCCCTCGTTCGGTTCTTTCTATCTACCGAACGAGGGGCCGTTCGGTAGTTTAGAACCGAACGGACCGGGCTTGTGGAGGTCTCAGCGGTGTTCGCCTACTCGAGTGTCCGATTTTAGTTCCAGACACTCGACGGCAAAACACCGCTGTTCGGGAGTTTTAAAATGGCCGGCCACGGCACCGAGAACAAAGGACGGCTACTTACTAGTCAATTACCCGTTCGCAACAATGTTGCAACGGGTAATTGAGGACACACTTCACACAGGGGAGGTCTGGTTGTTCGGTATTTTCATTCGAATAAACTAAGGGAATGAAACTACCGAACAATCAGAGGAATACAATTCTTTTAAAACACATATAACACAGCAGATCACCTGAATGCAGTTATGTACAATATATTTGCAGGACAGCCTGGTGCCATCCGCTACACTGCTCCCCCTTGCCCACAAGCCGGCATACACAGTCTGATCCAACACGGATCGGCTTAGGGATGTCCGGGGAGGCTCACGGATCATTTCTCTAGATCAGTTTGTCTTGACAACCCGTCAGCGTTTCCATTCTGTTTACCCGGGCGGTACTGGATATTAAAGTCAAAGGGCTGCAGCGCCAGACTCCAGCGCAGCAGCCTGGCATTGTCCCCAGCCACCCGGTTTAGCCATACTAACGGGTTGTGATCCGTGAGCAGGGAAAAAGCTTGCCCGTACAAATACGGCTGTAATTTCTTCAGGGCCCACACCACAGCCAGGCATTCCTTCTCGATGGCGGCTGTTACAAAAGACTGGAAATCACTTAACCCCGTCACCCCGCAAACTACCGAACGGTCGACCACCCGGCCCTCGGAGTGTGGCAGCCATTAACCACCCAGGTGTCTGCGGTTTGCGGTTAACCACAACGTAATTGGTAGGCCTGGGGGTATCGACGTTCGCACCCAAAGTACCGAAGGGAAAATACCGAACTATCAACCGAACGACGACCCCCTACAGCGGGTCGCGTGGCGCTCCTTAACTTGTGGTTTCTGCGATTAACCGCAGGTCAAGTACACTGCTCCCAGGTGGTCCTCATCCCCTTACGGAACGAGCCCACTACCAGACAGACAGCGGGACTTCGCATGAACTGATACCGAGTTTAGTTCCACGAGTTAGACACGAAGTCCCGCTGCTCGCTAAACCAGCAGAAAACATGGCCGCCAACAAAGACTAACAATCTCAAAATGCCGAACGGACTTTATACGGCAGAAACAGTACATTCTGTTCGTGGGATTAGAGCGCCATTCGCCTGTTTTATATACACAAACGCGAGCCTTCAGATGAAGGGTAGAATGAGCGGTTTTCATGTATTAATGTAAAAGTTATGGATTTTTATGCAGTTTTCTGGGACATAATAAAACGTGGTCTTTTGTGCGCTTGGAGATAATTAGATTGTATAACCGTTGGCCTCATTATCTCCAAGCTGGGCGGGTACTGATTCAAATAATACACTGTACTGTGATTGGATATTTGTCTGTACTGTACCTGTATTCCATCAGGTCCACAGGGGGCTGTCCTTGGACCTGAGGAATCACATAAATTGCCATGCTATGTGCCAGTAAAGCCAGTTCGTTTTTGACCCTCAACTTGCAGCCTCGACTCATGTTGTAGGGATCCTGGATATTGATGCTTATATCGTGCTTGGGGATATTCTACATTTAAAGCTTACTACCGAAAGACCTCCGTTTGACTCTCTGCAGCGGGAACCAGGACATCCAAGCGATCAACCCTCCTGCTAGATCGGGGGCAATCGTAACAATTGGTGGCAGCGGCGGGATCATCCTGGAATTCCTGAAAGAGATATATAGGACGGATGGAGAGTAACTACGATAAGCTGAAGCGTACCACGTTAAAGGATTTACTCGAGAGCCGTGGAGGGAACGCAAGTAACCGGCCGAGGAGAGAATTGATTGCCGACCTGAACGAGTTGGATCAAAGCTTCACCATGGCAGAACCGACGGCAGCATGCAGCGATGAGAAGACCAGGCTTGTCCGAGAAAGGCTGCCTCTGTACGGACCGAACCCATCCGTGGAGCTGATACAGCAACTAATGGCAGAAGCCGAGGTGGACGTACAGCGGACTAGAGCCCACGAGCTGAGCATGAAGACCGTTGATAGCCACAACGGCCCCCTAGAAACTACCGAACAGCCAAAGATTCCGTTCGCGGCATTCAAGCCGTTCGCGGAGAATGAGATGGGGATAGACGAATTTTTGGCCGATTTTGAAAGACAATGTGCCCTGCATCATATCCCCGTCGCCGCGTGGCCGCGTATCCTGGCAGGAAAATTAACCGGGCGGGCCATGGAAGCCTTCCGAACCCTCAGCGCAGAAGAGGTAGCCCAATACACCACAGTAAAAGAGACACTGCTGAAACGGTACGCTGTGACCCCAGACACCTACCGAAGGCAGTTCCGCAGCACGAAGAAAAAAGCGAATGACACACATGCCGAATGGGCACACCGTATGCGGAGAGCTGCTACCCATTGGATTACCGGGTGTCGGGCCGTCACGGCCGCGGAAATATTGGAACTTTTCTTATTAGAACATTTTTATGAGGGTCTGGAACAAAAAGACCAGGAGTGGTTGAAAGACCGGCGTCCCGCTAACCTACACGAAGCAGCCCGGTTGGCAGACGAACACCGGGATGCGCAAGTACAGGAGTTCAACAATGCCCGAACGGTAACTCGCCCCGAAGCAAGAGAGGGATACCGATCAACTCCACGAACTGAGTTTCGCAACCCTGTACCCGCAGGTCCT